TCACCGACTCTTCGCTGTCCAACCGATTCACGAAGAGTTTCACCGAAGACTTACACGTTTCGGTCGGTTTGTCGTCTTCGCAGAAGTTCACCGGAGCTAATCCCGGCAGATAGAAGCCATCCACACCTCCCCTACACACCATCACCGCCAACAACGACAACACCCACAACACCACACCTCTCGGCGCCCACATCTTCACTACACTGTACAACACGTGTGTCCGCACAACTGGTCCAACACTATGACTGTCACGTCTGGTCACTAATCCTTGTCTATAACTGCGAGTGAATTGAGTCAACACTACTGTAGTGTCAGAGAGAGAGAGAGAGAGAGAGTGAGTGAGCGGTAGTTGTGTTCACAGAGTGTTGTCTTCCAACTCATATACACTCAAAGGCAACACACAGTGAGTCGTACTTCACATCAAACACAACACACTATGAGATCACCCAATAGTACAGTCATCCCTACAAATCAATGCATGCCATAGGGTTGGCACAAATACACGTTTGTATTATACAAAATTAACTTATTAACAATACATAGTAAACCAAATAGCGCATGTGGCTTAACTGGGTAGAGAATAAATAAATGCCGTACAAAATATCGTAAATAGATATATTAGAGGTATCATAGATGTCTGTGTATACTATTTTGCATGTTAAAGTTTAAAGTTAAGTATCTTTCGATGGACAAAATTAACTTAAGCTTTTCAAGTTTAAGTTAAGTCAAATATTTTCCATGGACATAGTATTATATAAAATAAAATTTATCTTTTTGTATCATACAAAATGTGGTAAGCTTTTTTTTAAATTTAGAAATTTTAAAATTTTTTGAGTGTAAAACCATAATAGCTTATAGCTTACCCAAAATGTAAATCAATATTGTACATTATGTTTGTCATTATGTAATCTTTGTTGTGAGTAGGACTAATAGTACATGTTGTACAGTACTTCAAATTTAATGTTAATTATTAATTTTAAATTAATTATTTTTTAAACCTTTGTATATTTAGGTTAAAATCAATTATTGAAGAGTATTTTACAAATATATTCTCTCCAAAATTCATTTTCTTATAATCAAGTCTATTTATCTACAAATTTTATAAATTTAAAAACAATTATTTTGCATTTAGAATATAAAACAATTTATGAAAAATTATTTTAAAAATGTTTTACCATATATAATTTGTGAGAATAATATGAGAGAAATAGCTTAATTTTGATTTATAAACTATGTTAATTTTTACCCATAGTACGTAATAATACAAGGATTTTGTATTCTTCCAAAAATGTCTTATATTTTACCAACCTTACATGCCTTCAGTACAGTGTGTGCTGTACTGCCTGTACATTGATTGCCATTCAATTGCATTGCAGACAATACTGTGAATAAATCTGTTGAATGAAATATAAAAGTTTTTTTTGCAAAAATGCCATTAAATGCAAAAATTGATCATTTTGTCAAACCTTTGCATAAAAATGATCGCAAAATAACACGTTATATAACATAAAGGATTAATCGCATACAAAATCATTTGATATTATAGTTAGACTCACTTTAAAGTACAAAATGTTTGGCAAAACTTTTTTTAAATCAAAAAACTTTATTTTTATACAAGTTTTTAAAACCTATTATTTGACTAAATTTGTAAAACATTGGCAATCAATCAAAACTATTGATATTTGTCTTCAAAATCACTAAAATCTGTAAAACATAACATAATATTTCGTTATATAAGAGTATTTTTGTCTAATAAAGTCATATATAAAAGCAATCAAAACAAGACTGGGGTTGAAATGGGGGCTAAGACTATGAGGACATGGGATCAAGTGATGCGACACTCGGGGGCCGAGAAGTGGAGGAGATTGTCGAGGACTGTACGCGCCATATATGCCGAAGTCTGGCCTTTGGTCTCGCAGTAAAAGTCTGCGATTCCCACCATTTCCTCTCTGTCTGTGTTATACCGATTGACCGCACCTTTGATTAGCTGTAAAATACATACTAATTATAAACAAATATTTTGAGAAAAGTGTTGCGATTTAATGGTCACCTGATCCAAGTCGACTGGCGTCAGGTCTTTGAATACGAGTTCCGGATTTCGCTCCAAAATGACATGAATTATGATTAAAAGCTGAAAGAAATTGAATGAATATAAATACGGTATGCAATACATTATGGTATGAATGGATACCTCGACAACCATTGCTCTGTATTCTGGTGAAGAGATTTGGCACAAGAAGTTCTCCACTTTAGTAATAAAGTTGAGTTCATTTTGAGACATCATTGTAATGGTAGGCCCGGAGGCCATGTGCTGTCCGCAGACCGTGAGTCCCGCGTGAGTGCGTCCGAGTACTACCCATACCTTGTCGTAGAAGTGTTTGGGCGTTCGACCCAACGCTCCCTCAATGAGACGCCTCTCGCGGGGCTCCAGATCTGTATCGGTGAGCACTTTGTAGAGGACACGTCTCACTTGACTCGGCGCGAGTGACTCCAACGTTGTCTGCTTCTCGTTCTTAAAGCTGAGATAGAACTTCATGGCCTCAACGAACGAACCGACTCTGATCTTAACGATACCGTCAAACAAGTGAGGAGTCGTCGATATGAGTCGACCCACATATAAGATAATCTCCTGTTGAAGTACGGCATCGTATGGCTCACGGATCACATCATACAACAGTTCGTGAATCTCTTTGGGAGTGCGCGGGTGATCGATGGCCACCTCTTTATGGCCATACGTGCCAACAGTTATCTGTTTACCGCTCACTAGTATTGATGTAATGTATGGCGAGATAGAGTCGACCAGTTTTTGCAAAATAGAGCTACAGTAGCGGACAACAGACCAGTGCCGCAAAGCCCCGGCCTGTCTCGACAGCCGCTCTAAACGCTCTTTAGCTGTGGTTCCGTCGGGAAGAGTGAAGTGATTGCCTTCTCTGTTGTAAA